GAGTACTGCGTCCAGCTCTGGAGCCCTCAGCATAAGAAAGACACGGACCTGTTGGAGCGGGTCCAGAGGAGGGCCACGAAAATGATCAGGGGGATGGAACAGCTCTCCTGTGAAGAAAGGCTGAGAGAGTTGGGGTTGTTCAGCCTGGGGAAGAGGCGGCTTCGGGGAGACCTGATTGCAGGTTGGTTGGTTTGAAACAGAATTTATTAGTTCTGTATTAGGCCAAATAATTATTGGCCTAATAATTAGGGCCAAATTATTACTTGGTGATGCCAAATCATTAACTAATCATTATCGAATTAGTACAAGATACAGCTTGTGCAGTATATACGACCTTACAGCATTTTTGTTAAAGTTGGATTTGTTTTTTCTTTTCTTTCAGCTTCATGTGAAGGACTCAAGTAACTGTTATCCTGCAAAGTGGATGTCACTTTTGTTACATTCCAGTATTTTTATTATTTCTAATACTGTTTGTTTGCTCTAACTGATACCGTAATTCTTAGACTACCCGATTTATAAATAAAATGGACATAACCATAGGTCAGCCAGTGGCTGGGAAAAAGCAACTGATTAGTGAATGATTGAAAGATAGAAAGGTTTTACCTCTCCTAGTAACATAAAGCATTTCATCACTGCTTTGTAAAGCTTTTATTTATCTTTCAATATTAAGCAGATGGGTAATGAGTCAGTTATATAGCCCAAAATCCTATCTGGGGACTCCAGAGGTCACCTAGTCCAACTTCTTGCTCAAAGCAGGTTGGTTGATTTGAAAGTAATTGACACTTAATAAAATGTTGTGGGTTTTTAATACTATATTCTTTCCGTTTGAATTGACAGCTAAAATACTGTTATCTGCGTATGTACTTGTAAACTTATAGATGACAGAGGAGACATTTCTCGATCTATTAAATTTCTAATGTTATGTGTGTTACCATGTAGGAAATATTTTATTACCTAATCTCTTGACTTCAGATCTGCTAGTGTTTGAAAAAAGATACAGATAAGGGCCTAGAAAGCTGGTTGACATTTACATCATGGTTAATTTGCAGGGCCATCAGTGAAATAAATGGATCCTACTTGTGCTGATACAGTTTGTCCACAGCCAAAGATAGATGATCAAGCTGGAAATAACAACAATATGAACAATATTATTGATTAACAATAATATGAACACTATTAACACTACACAAGAATTTCAGAGCACAAAGTAAATTCTTTTGATGTATGCACTATTTTTCAGTATTCAGGATGTTATTGTTCTGTAAATTAACTTTTCATTCTCAGCAGTGCCTGTTAATGAAGTTGCCATTTTTCTTCCTCAGCAAGGAAGAGGCTGATACTAACTTAAATGCCATTAGTCATACACAGTTGGGAAAATAAAATAACTTTGTCCACTTTGGCTGACATACCTCAGCATCTGGAAACCTGTGCACCATTTAGCTGCTAGACCATTTTATATAGATCCTTGTGTTAAATACTTTCACACCCAGACCTTTTGGAAGGTAGGAGAATGTAGAAGCTGGGTATTGAAACTTGTTAAAATTTACTTTTTGAGACTGTTGCTTGAAGTCTGGACTGTTAGAGGAGACTGTGTTCTTCATTCTGACTTTCAAATTCCCACCATTGCTGAAAACACAATACATGAAATGTTTAATAATGAAAAACAGATGTTGTCTTAAGCTGCTACAGTTTCATTAAGGAAAAAGGTTGCTGTCGGTATGCAATAAAAAGGATCAGTCAAACCAAAATAAAATACATGTACCACTACTGTTAAGTAGCTTGTAGAGTAAGTTAACATCTCAGTTTGTTTAAATGTAATATTTAAGTTTTCCAAAACCAGTTGTACTTCACATCTTTACAGGGCAAGTTGCTTATCTTCAAGTCTTCGTCTTTTAACAAATTTTAACAATTTTACATCTGCATACACAGGTATATTTGAGTAACTTTGTTTATTACAATATTTAAATGCAGTGTTGCTCAGGGATGGTAATTATCACTGTATTTTTATTTGTCAACTATATAAATGCTCTAGGTGTTTTAAGTTGCCTTGTACTCTTGAATTAAAATAACTATTTGCTACATGTTTCTTCAGATTTATTCTTCTGGACATCTTAATAAACTTCGTACAAAAGCAATCGATTACTGTTCAGTACTTAACTGTTTAACCATCCAATTCCACTGTTCTTGGGGACTGCCAGCCCATCATTTTGCCTGTAAAATAGATGTTCATGTAGATTTTAAATACTGTACTTGACTCGGAGTATGTTTGTCTTTCACGACCTCTCAGCTGGACGTACTGAAGGTGTAATACCATTCTGTACACCTTTGGAGAGCTAAAATCCCAGGTATCTATGCTCATTGTACAAAAGTCCTGCAAAGTCTTTCAGTAACAGTTATGAGTATCCGATGCAATACTTAGGCACTTACTGGCTCACAAGGAAGTAGTGGCGAATCTGGAAAGAAGTTAAAACAATGTTAGCTGTAATTAGCAACCGGACAAAATGTTGCTGCCGCTTGCAGTTCTGTGAACTCCTTGCTTTTGTTACTGCCTTACCACCAAATAAAGAATTTAGGGCAAGAGATTAGAAAGAGGTATCTTAATAGAATCATAGAATCATTAAGGTTGGAAGAGACCTCCAAGATCATCGAGTCCCACCCTTCACCCCATCCCAACCATGCCACTAAACCCATGTCCCTAAGCGCTACTTAACAGTAGTGGTACATGTATTTTATTTTGGTTTGACTGATCCTTTTTATTGCATACCGACAGCAACCTTTTTCCTTAATGAAACTGTAGCAGCTTAAGACAACGTCTGTGTTTTTCATTATTAAACATTTCATGTATTGTGTTTTCAGCAATGGTGGGAATTTGAAAGTCAGAATGAAGAACACAGTCTCCTCTAACAGTCCAGACTTCAAGCAACAGTCTCAAAGAGTAAATTTTAACAAGTTTCAATACCCAGCTTCTACATTCTCCTACCTTCCAAAAGGTCTGGGTGTGAAAGTATTTAACACAAGGATCTATATAAAATGGTCTAGCAGCTAAATGGTGCACAGGTTTCCAGATGCTGAGGTATGTCAGCCAAAGTGGACAAAGTTATTTTATTTTCCCAACTGTGTATGACTAATGGCATTTAAGTTAGTATCAGCCTCTTCCTTGCTGAGGAAGAAAAATGGCAACTTCATTAACAGGCACTGCTGAGAATGAAAAGTTAATTTACAGAACAATAACATCCTGAATACTGAAAAATAGTGCATACATCAAAAGAATTTACTTTGTGCTCTGAAATTCTTGTGTAGTGTTAATAGTGTTCATATTATTGTTAATCAATAATATTGTTCATATTGTTGTTATTCACAGCTTGATCATCTATCTTTGGCTGTGGACAAACTGTATCAGCACAAGTAGGATCCATTTATTTCACTGATGGCCCTGCAAATTAACCATGATGTAAATGTCAACCAGCTTTCTAGGCCCTTACCCCGATCTGTATCTTTTTTCAAACACTAGCAGATCTGAAGTCAAGAGATTAGGTAATAAAATATTTCCTACATGGTAACACACATAACATTAGAAATTTAATAGATCGAGAAATGTCTCCTCTGTCATCTATAAGTTTACAAGTACATACGCAGATAACAGTATTTTAGCTGTCAATTCAAACGGAAAGAATATAGTATTAAAAACCCACAACATTTTATTAAGTATCAATTACTTTCAAACCAACCAACCTGCTTTGGGCAAGAAGTTGGACTAGGTGACCTCTGGAGTCCCCAAATAGGATTTAGGGCTATATAACTGACTCATTACCCATCTGCTTAATATTGAAAGATAAATAAAAGCTTTACAAAGCAGTGATGAAATGCTTTATGTTACTAGGAGAGGTAAAACCTATCTATCTTTCAATCATTCACTAATCAGTTGCTTTTTCCCAGCCACTGGCTGACCTATGGTTATGTCCATTTTATTTATAAATCGGGTAGTCTAAGAATTACGGTATCAGTTAGAGCAAACAAACAGTATTAGAAATAATAAAAATACTGGAATGTAACAAAAGTGACATCCACTTTGCAGGATAACAGTTACTTGAGTCCTTCACATGAAGCTGAAAGAAAAGAAAAAACAAATCCAACTTTAACAAAAATGCTGTAAGGTCGTATATACTGCACAAGCTGTATCTTGTACTAATTCGATAATGATTAGTTAATGATTTGGCATCACCAAGTAATAATTTGGCCCTAATTATTAGGCCAATAATTGTTTGGCCTAATACAGAACTAATAAATTCTATATAACAGAATTTACTTGGCTGTTCATATAGAAAACCAGAATGTTTTCATGAGGTTCAGCTGTTCAGGTTATCTGTAATTCACTTGTACTACTTACTTTCTAAGTACAAATTACTACAGAATGGTTGTTTTAGTCTGTTAATATGATCAGCGCTAACACACTGAAATGCATCCCTTCCCCACATCCTTCCAGTGCTCAGACAGAACATCGCTGAATGTTCGTAATGACAGAACGAACCAACATGATTTAAAGAAGTTTGCATTAACCAGTCTGACTGAAGCTCCCACAACACAGTAGAGAGGTTCTGAAATAACTATTGTATTTTTCAGAAGTCTATAGGTGTTGTCAGGGTATGACCTAAGTTACTTACCTCCTTAAAAAAAATCAGGTTTCTTGGTATCTAGAAAATAGGGAAAAAAATGCAACACTAGTTTCAGTTTGTTTATGCAAACAACAGCTGTGTTTCACTGTCCCACCCGTTAAGTATTTTTTGCCTATAACCCTGGCACTACAAGAGGCTACGCTCAAAATCCAGCACTGTCTCATTCTTCTTGCTGCACTCGTAAAAATGCCGGGAGACTTCCTCACTGGAAAGGGTTTGTGATGGCAAGCAAAACCGAACAGGCTTCCCCACATTCCCTTGAGAAGCCCAGCAAACAAGACCTGCTGAAGGAGTCACTTCGCTGGGTGACGTAGACACCTGTGATACAGGGGACATCCCTTACCCTATTTACTGAGCGGTCTTTGATGTCTTGCTTAACCTTTTTCAATTTCACAGGACTCATTTGGATAGTATATCCTAACAAAAGATGCAAGAACCCCTTTTCAATGTGGCAGTTATGGAAAATGAATTTTTCAAGTCAACAAAATATCTGGTTTTGCCTTTGAAAGGTTGTTTTTTAAAGAACAAAGAACTTCTGATGTCTGGCAGTTTTCCAGATAGCAGGTTGATCTGGACTGTTCATCACAGAAAATGAGAACAGCATACTTCAAGACAAGACAAAGAATTTGAATTAAAAAAAAAATAAAAATAGAGAAGACAGTTGCATATGGATGTTAATAGCTTCTCTCCTTCTTGACTATCAGGTCAAGCAACTTCACTAAGAAGTTTTCCCAGTCTGGGTAAAAGCTGCAGGTATTTGGCCTGTACTCCCCCAAACCATCCATTCTCACTAATCGCTTCTTTTCACTGTCTAGAACAGAATCTTACAGGAAGAGAAAAAGGATATTCTTCCCCTTAGGACACTTGCATGTTCTCCGGTTACTCTATGTGCCACAAAATGTCAATATTCTAAAAGCGTACACAAAACACAGAGAAGGAATCCTTAAATGGTCTTACAATCCTTAAGTGTCTAATAAAACAGCTCATGCAACAAGATAGATGGTTTTATGTGCTTAAACAATTCAATTATTTACCTTAAGGACTTATCCCAAGAGTGACACAAGCATCACAACACCCATAAACTGAGTGAAGAGCAACAAAGGTGTCATAAACGACCAGACAGGCCACAAGGCATTGTTGAAACTGGGAATAAAAGCAGGAAGTTTCTGGTAAGTTCAATTGTCATATTATGGAAATATCAGCCACACAAAGAAAATATGGCACAAGAGGAAATGAGATTTAAATTACACAACCTGGAAAAATACTTGTTTCTTTAAGATTTGAGAGAAAACAAAACGAAAAGACCCCAGCATCTACTTATTAAATTGGTAGTTTAGTTTACTGTTTATTTACTGACAACTCATCTGAGAACTTCAGTAGCTGCTGTAGATTTTACGCTGAGCAAGTCCACTTGGTCCCATCAAGGGTAAAGATACCTTTTACTTTCAGAATCTCTGTATATGAAGCACCTGAAAATTAACTACTCTTGATTTTTCCAGGGACATACACGGCAGCTAAGAAAAGCCTTAACTTGTACTTCCAGCCAAGCAGATTTCAGTTAACTGAAGAGAAAGGGGGAAAACCAACTTATTTTACAACTGAATTACAAGGATTATAGATTTGACTAATTCTAAACTATAAGGAACCTTTATCTTCTTCAGTGTTCCTTTTTTCCCCAGCATTGCAACGAATACTGACTGACATTATTCAGATGCAACATCTGAACTTAAAGAGAGAACCAGCTTTCATGCAGAGAGCAAACAAATATACTGGCACACACATATATAATTTTTTCATTCACATGCACGTTTGCTCAATTCTGACTCCTATCATCTCATAAAGAAAGTAGCTCTTACTAAAAGTACCATTCTCTGACAAGATATAAACCCTTAAAGCTCATATAACAATAGCTAGAAGTATAAATTTCAGCATATGTTTGCTGTTTATAGATTGTTTGATAATGAAGAACTTCGTATTAGAAATTGATCAGGCATAATTTTTTCTCAGCTAGAGAATACACCTTTGTCTTAATTTGTAAACCTCACAAAGAGTTGTCAGAGGTGAACAATTTACACTAACAAAGCTGAGGACTTCAGTTTTCCCATAAATTTTCACAACAGAAAAGATCCGGTGTATCCACAAGTACACTTAATATACAGTTCCAACAGTTGCAACTCTTGTTTTGTGAATGAATGTTGAAAGTGGAAGAAATTATGCTACGTAAGACTGGTATTGTCACCAAAACACTTAGAATTAGAGAAATTACACTTTTTATAAAATGAGCCCAGTAACACAGTTAGGCTTGCACAGGTTTAGCAGAAGTTTGTACAGCGTTCAAACTTACCAAATTGCTGCTGCAATAAAGGTAGCTGTTGTGATAGATATCAGTGCTGGATACCGTGCATCGTAGTCCTCAATTCCACAATACCACTCAAGATATAGTATGCAGTAAACGGCAACAGATGAACTTGCAGTCAATAAACAACTGCCAGAGACAAACCACCAACAACTGGGGGGTGGGGGGAAACACATTAAAGCATGTTAAGCACAGTCACATTGCAGTTTGCACATTAATCTTCATTCCAGTCTAGAAACAGAACAGACAATACCTGTTAATTATACAGATTGGCCTAGAGTGCCTGTAGTTTTTTTCTTAAATTACTTTTACAAAACAATTTTTGCCCTTCTAAAGCTGTCTAATATACATAACTAATCGAGTTTAATTTTGCAATGCAACACTCCTGTCATTTATTTTTCCCTCAAATATTTTGGAAATGCAACGCAACAGACCTTGTCAGTGATCTACTATACTACCACACCAAAAATACTGTCGGTAATGAAATAAAGTAGGCTCCACTGCAACTGTGCTTCTCACTATGAATTAGACTACTGATTTCTGAGCAACAGAAACATTGCAGAAAGCTTTATTAAAGTTTCAAGTTTATGAACTCTCAAATTTAACAGAGGAGAAGCATGAAGATTTTTCTTTATAGCAGCTGAAGAAAACCATAAAGAACTCCAGGATTTCAAACTCAGAATCAAAACACAGGGTATGTGATTATTTAGGAAGACGCACTTTTGAGCCTCTTTGAGGACATACTTCAAGAGTAAGATGGGAAAGACAGCTTGGGAGGAAGGTGCACTTTAATAAAATCTTATACTCATCTGAATGTCTATTTAGCAAATAAAAATTTTAAAAAGTGAATTCTTATTACCATAGTTTGATTACTAAATTCCAAAGGGCAATCAAGGATCTTCCTACTCAGGGCTAACATTTACTCTGTTAGAGCAAATATCGTATGCTATTTTGGGACCTCAGTACTACCAATTGAGAAATCTGCATTAAGAGAGCAGTTGCCATAGTCTACCTAAATATGCAACACAGGAAGACAGGGTACTGCAGGGAGCAGATGGGGCCACCCAAAACCTTGATCACATCCTGGAGTCACTAGGTTGTATCCACAGCCAACTGGATGTAGGGTCTATCTAGGCCAGCCTGGGAACAGCAGCTCTAGAGGACCTCACAGCACAGAGCGAGGCCCTGTTCAGCTTCCATATTGATATGACAATGACAATAAGAGAGTTTTAAAAGCACTTCCAGGTGAAGCTATCTAAAAATATTTAACATCCATCAATCCCACTGAAAATAATTTAATAGAAAAGAAATTATTTCATAAAAATAATTTCACTAATCTTTCACTAGTCTACTCAAAGAAGTCTAGAGAACTTCATTTTGATGTTTAAAGATTAATTTCAGCTTTTTTTGATTAAAATAAAATCAAAACCCCAACGCTTTCAACAAAACAGGCAGCAATTTCTTGTACGGAAGTGTAAACTTGAAGATACAGTATTAAAACATCCTGCTATTCAAACAAATTTTGCACATACACAGATGGCTCAGTAGAGCCTAAAGAAAAAAAATAATTATAGCAAAATTTTAAGCATTATGGTTTCTTAAAAATTAGTTTAATAATAATTCCTTAGGTGGTCATCTGGTCCAACCCCCCTGTTCAAGCAGGGTCACCTAGAGCCAGTTGCCCAGGACCACATCCAGATAGGTTTTAAGTATCTCCGAGGATGGAGACTCCAGGACCTCCCTGGGCAACCGGTGCCCGTGCTGGGTCACCCTCACAGTGAAAAAGTGTTTCCTGATGTTCAGAGGGAACCTCCTGTGTTCCAGTTTGTGCTCACTACCTCTGGTCCTGTCTCTGGGCACCACTGAAAGGAACGTGGCTCCGTCTTATTTCCACCCTCCCTCCAGGTATTTACATACCTTGGTAAGATCCCCCTGAGCCTTCTCTTCTCCAGGCTGAACAGTCCCAGCCCTCTCTATTCCTATTGTAGATCTTGTTTATCCAAGATTTAAAACACAGTGTTCAGATGTAACAAACTGAATATGATTGTAAGATGAAAACACAACTTTCTTTGTAAGAAAAGTACCTTACCTATCTGCTTGAACAGCTTCTTTAACAGTTTTAAAAAAATCAAAGTAGTATGTCACAGCAATTGATGCCAAAATCCAGAATGCAGAATGAATATTCAGTCTGGTAAGAGCCTTCCTCTCCGTCTCTACAGCTGTAGACTCTTCTGTAAATAAGAACATAATTATAGCACTAAAGCCAGTCATTAAGTGGAGTGTGATTATAGTTACGTAAAACATGATGCTTTATCCTTTTAATTCATTTATCTTTGGAGATTATTATACTCGGTATAATACACTTTGTATTACAGAGGAAGTATTCTAAATAGCTCTCCTTTTTCCCGAAATAAAACAGACTACGCAAGGTACTCTCTGATAAAACGATAAAGCAGTAACAATCAGCACATACTGTGTGTGTGTACCTTCTTAAGAAATGAACAGCTGACTAGATTATGAAAGGGTTATTTAACTAATTTAAAACCTCCTGGTGTTATTAAAGCATTTTTATTAATCAAGCATATAGAAAGTCAGGTTAGTCTTTCCGATTACTAATTTATTTGTATCCTTTTTTGTTATTTTCAGTATTTGCAAACCGATTTCAGGCATAAATAATTTTCTTGTACTCAACTGCAGTTACTTCACAAGAGATTTTCAACTTCAGTTTCACGAGCTAGCTTGATTCACATTGCATACCTTCAGCAGGTAAACTAAAACTATCATTATGCAGAAAAGTATCTTTTCTTTTTTCCCTCATCACCATATATCGTTTTAGAAGAAAGCAACAGAGCAAGCAGATCTGAAAGCATATTTTTGTGCATGACAGTAACCAACTAACACACTCAGTACTTATAGACACTGTCCAAAAAAAGGCGTCAAAGGTGCCTTTGATGTTTCATACTTTGAACTTTATCACTAGAAGTTATTGGTGGCCTGTGTGGCTCCAGTAGTGTAATGATTGCTGGCTCCTCCACCTCCATTATCACCAGCTGAGTGTACTAACAGCTCTGCTGGAGTTTACAGGCATTTTTATTTCCTAGATTCTTCCTCATCTACTAGAGCTTGGGCCTGGAGCATTTAAGCACTTCACCCCCATCAAGAAATCCGCGGTTGCAAGTGTTTTACACAACTCACGTCTCCCTTTTCCCATCCAATTCGCTGTTACGAGCGGACACCCGAGGGAAGATGTGCTGGCTACGAGCAAGCAGTACCCCACCGGCAGGGCGACGCGCCCCTTTACCCGAGGAGCCCCCTCACTCCTGCAGTGCGCAGGGTCCGTCCCCTTTCCCCGCTCCCGCCGCGGGAGCTGCGGTGCGGCAGGCGATGCTTGTCACCGCTCCCCGCCCGGGCATTTGTGTCACACCGCCCGCCTCGCAGAGCCTGGCTCCGCTCCCCTCCCGGCGGGGTCTCCGCGTCCTC